GCTGGATGATCTCCTACCCCTCTCCTGAGGGTTAGATGTGAGATAGGTGGTGATGTGATCAAATGCATCAGATTCTGGAAGGAATGCCCTGGTGGCACATTGCAGATGTAACACAGCACCAGCAAGAGCCATGGGGTCCACTTTTTTCTCAGTTCTTTTAATCACCTTCAGTCACTAAGTGAACTCAAGCACCAGACCGATGCATGTGACACTTAGGTGTGCTATCCCCCATCACCCAGGGCCACATCATACCTCTAAGAGGGTCCATGGAATGAAAGGGATAACTTCTCTGCAGGAATAATGGATATCTGAGCTTCTGTATCACTCACTGGATTGGGGAATGCAAAGTTAGCCATTTCCTGAGGGGGTGGATTTAATCACCATTGAATATAAGGAACAGTGGCATGTACTTTTAAGACACATATGCTGGTTGTGGAGGACTATAACATATGCTGTCCATTGAAATATCATCTCTTGGCTGCACTACTCTGCTTCTAACTTTGTTTCTTTAATATGTAAAGTGTTTTGGACTGTATATGATCTTGGCAGAGCATGAAATCCTTGCAGGCACTTTTCAACTGATATATTTATTAGACAGGAGGGAAAATATTGCCCGGATTAGGTACGGATTTTGAAACTGAATCACAACTGTATTTCAAAGGTACACAGTTTGATTTAGAGAAATCACCACTAAAATAATGTTTTCCACTACCTCCTTTGTAAAGGTCTCTCCAACTAATTTTTACAATAAGACTGATTGTAAATTGTTCGCTTGTTTCTAGCAATTCTATTCCATGAATAAAATCTGTAGAAAAATTTGAGCTGTGTAAGTTGAGGAAACTGTAATAGGCTTCAGCAATTTATAAGAGGTATGCAATTAATGTGACATATTGTAAATGTTAGTTAAGAGAGCAAGAGATAACCCAGTCACAGTTTCTATGCCTAGTTACTGCAGCAGAGGCCAGGATCTCACTGGGGCAAGTTAAAAGGAAAGTCATCGTGCTAGAAGGTGGGAAGAAAAAATATTCCATTCGGCTACAAAAGCCTGGACAAAAGCAATGCCACGTTAGCACTAGCCCATCATTTCCATATAGTTTAAGAGTCTGAGCACAATCCTTTGCCGATGGTTGACAGCAACAAGCCCTTACACTGCAGAAGACATTGCATCTTGGCCTAGGAACTGGAATGCTGTTTCTGATTGCACTCTTCACCCAGACATGACAAACATGCACCTGTACAAACCATACGGGGAAACAGAGAAGTTGCTTCTGATTCCAAGAAGTGTACAGTACATTAGATGTTTGAAATAACAAAAACTGTTTTTTTTAGAGTACAAGAAGTATTCAGAAAAGAAGTATACATAAATTCATACAACCTAAAAAGATAGTGAAGTGGAAAATGGAGAAAAAGTGCAGAAAGGTGACTGTGTTATTAGTTAATTCTTTAAATAAAGCATTTAAAGATGCTCAGAAGCAGAATTCTGAAGTCAGTTCTAATTAATATGATGAAAAGCACTCTCCTGAAGCTTATCTGTGGTGGGTTGACCATGGCTGGGTGTCAGGTGTCCACCAAGCTGCTCTTTCACTCCCCTTCTCAGCTGTACAGGGGAGAGAAAATATGACCAAAGTTTTGTGGGTCAAGATAAGGACAGGAAATCATCATTCACCAATTACTGTCATGTGGAAAACAGACTCGACTTGTGGAAAATTTAATTTAACTTATTGCTAATCAAATCACAGTAAGCAAGATAATGAAAAATAAGAAAAAAAAAAATCTTACAACACTTTCCCTCCATGTCTCTCTTCTTTCTGGGCTTGACTTTATTCACAAATTCTCTATTGCCTCCTCTCCAGTGGCACAAGGGGATGGGGAAACAGGTCTGTGGTTAGTTCATTTCACATTGTCCCTGCTGTTCCTTTCTCCTCACAAGGAGGACTCCCCACACCCTTCCCATGCTCCAGCATGGGATCCCTCCACAGGAAACAGTTCTCCATGAACTTATTCGGTGTGGGTCCTTCACATGGGCTGTAGTTCTTCATGAACTGCTTCAGTGTGGGTCCCTCCCACAGGGTGCAGTCCTTCAGGAATAGGCTGCTGCAGAGTGGGTCCCCCAGGGGTCCCAAGTTCTGCCAGCAAACCTGCTCCAGCATAGGCTCCTCTCTCCACAGGGCCACAGGTCCTGCCAGGAACCTGCTTCAGTGTGGGCTTCCCATGGCGTCACAGCCTCCTTTGGGCATGTCCACCTACTCTGGTGTGAGGTTCTCCATGGTCTGCAGGCTGATCTCTGATCCACCTTGGACCTCCATGGGCTGTAGAGAGGCAGCTGCCTCACCATCGTCTGCACCACGGGCTGCAGGGGAATCTTTGCTCTGGTGCTTGGAAAACCACCTACTGCTTCTTCACTAGCCTTGGTGTCTGCAGAGCTGTTCCTCACACATATTCTCTGTCCTCTCTTGGGCTGCTGTTGCTGTTGCACAGGTTTTCCCCCCTTCTTGAATACGTTATCCCAGAGGTGCTACCACTGTCACTGGTGGGCTCAGCCTTGGCCAGTGGTGGATCTGTCCTGCAGCGGGCTGGCACTGGCTCCATCAGACACAGGGGAAGCTTCTGGCAGCTTCTCACAGAAGCCATCCCTTAGCCCCCTGCTGCCAGAAACTTGCTAATACATTATGAAAGCTATGCAAGCCTTCATGTTCACCCTGCAGGAACCTGGTGCATTTCCAGTCTTGAAAAATATATCCCAACACGGTCTTTACAAAGACAGTGCAAGACTCAGAGCCTCTGAAGCTGCCATGAAGTTCAAATCTCAGCACTTATCTATAGACATGGTGTTTGGCATAGTACTACACTGTGTCTTTTCAATCCTCTTTTTTCCAATGTGTGGACTGTGATAGAGCAGAACAGGTTAAAATGAAGAGGGTAAAGTCAAGCAGTGTATTTTACTCACTGCATTAAACAATAACAACCTTACTCATGTTGCTAACCTGAGTAAGCAGCATTTGCTGTCCCCGCATCTGGTGTAGGAAGTGCTCTTCCCTCTTTTTTTTCTGTTTGGAGGTACCACTATGAATACCACATTTGAGGACTACAGGTCAACTGTAGGTAGTGTTATGCTGTGCAGTCCTTCCTTTCAATAAATGAAATGCAACAAAGTGCGTCAACACTTGCCAGTTTGGAGAAAATACCAAATTATTTAAGGAGACTACTGAAGAGCAGATAGGCGACGGCAAAACATTACTGTGGAAAACTTGGCGGGGGTATCTGCATCCCAAAGATATCCCATTGGCTTTGCCCTTAGCCTGCAGGAACATCACCTCTGAGATGAGAATCAGCATAATTGAACAGAAATGGAAAAGCAGAAGTATGCTAAAGTAGATAAACATCTGCTTTAAAACTGGTTTATGGCTGTCATCACCTTCAGTTTGTTGCGAAGATGCAAAGAATTCACATCAGTTAACAAGTGGCAATACTCAGGTTACACATCACCAATACTTGTCAAACTTATGTTGCTACAGAGTCGTTTCATCCTAGATCTAAGATGCATCCCATGCTTTAAACACACAGGCTGGTCACCAATAGAAGTTCAGGAGGGATGGACACCTCTCCTACAGAGAAAGACTGTGAATATTGAGATCGTTCAGGCTGGAGAAGAGAATGATCTGAGTCAACCTTATTGCAGCCTTCCAGTACCTAAAGAGAACCTACAAGAAAGCTGGAGAGGTTCTTTTTACAAGGGCACATAGTGACAGAACCAGGGGGAGTGGCTTTGAACTGAAAGAGGGTAAATTTAGATTGAATATAAGGAAGAAATTCTTTACTTGAGGGTGGTGAGGCACTGGAACAGGTTGCCCAGAGAAGTTGTGGATGCCCCACCCCTGGAGGTGTTCAAGGCCGGATTGGATGGGCCTTTGAGCAACTTGGTCTAGTGAAAGGTATCCCTGCCCATGGCAGGGGCGTTGGAAATAGATGATCTCTAAGGTCCCTTCCAATCCAAGCCATTCTATGATCCTATAATTTAGAAAAGCACTATAATCTCCTGCCCTAGGGAAAATCTCAGGCATTGCGTGGTGTTGCTTCTGAAAAAACATGGGTGAAAAAGCAGCAGGGCAATGACCTGTGTGTATTCAGATGCTCAGAGCAGTGCCTGTTGGATATGTCTGTGCACCTTGGGGGTTTCTTTGTCACAGATGTCTGAGAATGGAGGCTTGTGTGGTCTTTTGGGATGGGTTTTATGATCTTGCCCCATGTTCATCTAAGACTCAAAAAGGCTTCCAAGATTACTGCATTACTTCATCAATGTCTATAGTTATCTAAAGGGTGAGTGTCAAAAGGATGGAGCCAGGCTCTTCTGAGTGGTGCTGAGCAATAGGACAAGACACAATGGGTGGGCGATGGAGCACTGAACGGATTGCCCAGAGAGGTTGTGGAGTCTCCCTCACTGCAGATATTCAAAAACCACCTGCACACAATCCTGTGCCGTGTGCTCTGGGATGACCTTGCTTGGGCAGGGAGGTTGGACCAGAAGATCCATTGTGGTCCCTCCCAACCTGGCCCATTCCATGAGCCTGTGATTCTGTGAAGGGCAGTGGAAGAGCAGCAGGAAAACAAATCAGGTGAGTTTACTCATGTTTGTTATGCCATCCTGACAGGACATCAAAGGCTCAGAGAGGTTCAGTGAAGGAGGACGGAAGATGTTCTCCTTAGAGAACATTTTGGCAGTCGTTCCACTTCACAAGGAGAGATGAAAATGGTCACAATAAAATGTTAATAATTGATGGCAATCTACAGTATGGTAAACGGTAACAGCACAAATTTCCTCTGAAATCGGAAAACAGCGAGGTAAAACGCCAGTAAATGTTTAATTGCCACCTGTGCGGAGCTCTGCCCGCGCCGCCGCTCACGGCGCAGCCGCTCGGCCATCGGCTGCTCCGGCCGTGCCCGGCCTCGCCCGCCAGCGGGCGGGTCTCGGCGCGGCGCTCGATTGAGCGGCCTGTGCCTGAGCGCGGCGGTGGCGCGGGAGAAGCCGGGCCGGCTCCGCTCCCGATGCTGCGGTGGCTGATCGGCGGCGGCCGGGAGCCGCAGGGCCTGGCCGAGGTGAGGCCGCTCCCTGCGGAGCCTTAGGCTTGGAGCGGGCAGTGCCGTGAGGTCGGGATGCACTGGGCCGTGGCGTTTCCTATTGGGTGGGTCTGGGCCGTGCTCCGCGCCGGCTCTCGGCCTGCGGGGCCTTCGGGCTGACAGAACTGGTTACGGGCTTCGTGGAGGAGAATGAGAGGAGGGCAGAAGCGCAGAAGCGAACCTCGAGTACTGTGTTCAGTTCTGGGTCCCTTAGATCAGGAGGTGCTGGAGCGTGTCCAGAGAAAGGCAGTGGAGCTGGTGAAGGGGCTGGAGCACAAGTCCTACGAGGAGCAGCTGAGGGGGCTGGGTTTGTTCAGCCTGGAGAAGAGGAGGCTCAGGGGAGACCTCATCACTTTACAACTACTTGAAAGGAAGTTGTAGCCAGGTATGGGTCGGTGACTTCTCCCAGGCAACAAGTGACAGGTGACAGGACGAGCAGAAATGGCCTCAGACTGCTCCAGGGGAGGTTCAGGTTGGAAATGAGGAAAAATTTCTTCACGGAAAGGGGGGTTAGATATTAGAATGGGGTGCCCAGGTGGGTGGTGGAGTCACCGTCCCTGGAGGTGTTCAGGAGACGACTGGGCGTGGCACTTTTAGTGCCACTGTCTCTTTGACATGGTGGTGTTTGGTCATAGGTTGGGCTTGATCTCAAACGTCTTTTCCAACCAGACTGATTCTGTGAAGAGCGGAACACCCACGCTGAGCTCGCCTGGGAGCTGTTGGGAGCATCCCGGCTCCCTCCCCCTTTCTCGGCGGGGCCTGTGTTGTGTAGCTGCAAGAACTGCGTATAAGTCCTGCTCTCAGTGACACTGATGATATAAATTGTAGGCAGCGACTTGTTATTTGCAGTAACTTCTTGTTTATGTGTCATAGTAGTTCGTAGTAGTCTTCTAGCACTTCTTAGTTTCTCATCCATGAAACACGGTTTGTTACATAGTGCACTGTACACTGACATCCTTCCTGTTTCTAAGAGTTTGGTGAAGTTCTCAGAGACTTAACAAGAGTTAATTAACAGTATTACTGGACTCTATACACATAGTGCTTTTGTAATTTAGACAAGTATGAGGAAGTTATTATTTTCTAGCTGCTGTTCATGAGCAAGTGTGCCAGTGTCATGGATGACTTCAGATGCCAGTATTTACTTTGGTGGAAGTTTGGATTTGTGCCAGTTTGGAACGATGATGTGTGGGAATGTCTCTGACTTTTGTCACCAGTCAGAATGCTGGTTGCATTGCAGTCATATTTAGCAGGTTTGTGTGCAGTTGTTTTTGAAAGGAGGATGGGAAATATGATGCAGTTTTGTAAGATGTGCTAGAAAATAGCATTGTGTGTGTCCCTCGCCAAAGTTTAAACTCTGGCTATGGTTTAGTTATACCGTGTTTTAATAAAGCATGAACATGAATCAAGATGTGGCCCAGTTCTTCCATTCTGCCATTCATAGCTTGGTTAAACCTGACCCGCAGGACTTTTGTTCCCATTGTTACCACTGGTTTGTGGAATGACAGTAATAATTTTGCTTCTCTGAGGAAAAACTGAATAACAAATATTGCTAAAGGTTAGTTTCTAAACTCCCCCCCCTCCCCGCTTTATGTAATATTGTTTCATCTAATCATCTTCATAACTAGTTCTTAAATAGGTAAGAAAACCCATAGCAGTGTGTGGGCTATGGACTTAGGGTATTTTTTTTCATGTGCTATGACTTCAGACAGATGTGTAGAGTGGCATTGCACTGGGTGAATAGAGAAAACCTCTAGCAAGGCTATCCTGAGTTCATGAAAGGTAAATTTCTCCGTGCCCATTTCTATTTTTACAGTGGAATTGAAAGTCATTTAGACTCAAGCTCCTGAATCTCTTCAGTTGATGGCCATGATGTTCATCTTAGACAGGGTGGTTCTGGAAATGGGAGCATCTAAGTGGGTCAATAGCCATCATGGCCAATAGTAGCTAATTTGTCATGCTCCACGGTGCATAAAATCAGTATGTATGTGAACTCTTGTATTCCATGTTTTTGGTGAATTGCATTTGAAAATCCCACTTTGCATCATGGGGGTTTATAGGAAGTTATGAAGTTCAGATTAATATTTTGGGGGTTTTTTTTTGCTGATTAGTGTAGTGATGCTGACAGGTCCTGCATAAAAACATGCAAGTTGGGAATGGATTCCATTAGCATCACTCTCCAGCTTTCCCTTCTAAAAACATGATTACTATAAGAGAGTCCAATTAATAGTTTCTATAAAAAAGTAGATTTCTTCAGAGAAAGAATTCTCATTTAACACTGTGTTTTGCTAAATATTAATGTATGTTTCCTCGGTACAGTATTGCTAATGTACTGAGATTTGCTTAGACTGTTTAGAACTCTCATTTTTTAAGGCATGTTTTGATTACCTTTGACAGCTGACTCCAAGTTTTCATGTTTGTCCGGCTTTTCTTTATAGCCATGCAGATTCTACTTGCATTATTTTAGAAGGAAACTGCTATTCACACGTGATTGCATAAAATGAGGAACATGAAATGCATCAGATAGCGCAAACCCAAGATAAAATCACAAGAACTTAATTTAAAAATTAGGAGCTCTTAATTTTTAAAATAAACACAAGTTTCTTTCACCACTTTTTCACCTTGTCATTCTTAGCTTATGAAGAATAGTATCATAGTACCAATATCAAAGTAATAGAAAATGGTTTATTAATCTAGCAAGAAGATGTTCAAAATTTTGAGGATAATATGTTTGTCTTTGCTCTAGTATTTATTACCTGTCATGTATGCTGCGTGCTGTACAGTGTTCTGTAGTTACTGTTTTACAGTGTACGTTCTGTTGAAGTCCTCAAAGGGGAGACAGTCTTGGAAGTAAGATGATGTTGACTGTCGTGTAAAATAAATCCAGAAGGAGAAGAGTGCTGCCACTGAGTTACTATTGAGCTGTTTTGTTTTTTTAAAAAATAATGTCTAACAGTAAGTTGTTCCAGAATGTGTAAGACATTAATTACAAAAAAGTTGTCTTGAAGCAAACTGATGATTGAGATTGGCAGAACTATTATTCCTTGAAACTGCAGTTCTGTGCAGTATTTTATTGACCCTACCTGATGATCAACTTGTTCCAAGTGATTGATTGTCCTTTTAATTAATAGTCTAGGTGGGGGTAATTGCAAATGCTGTTCTATAAAATGATTAATCATTCTCTACATTTTTTCAAGTGGTTGGCTTTGGTATTTTGTGAATAGAGTAGCAATGCATGATTTATATATTATGTAACAGAACAGCATTTGTTCTTATTTGTTTTAAATATATTGTCTTTATATAGGATTTTAAAATTGAACAGCAGATGAAAGATATGAAAGATTCACAAACGTCTCATAAGATGTGTAATTTAATGAAAAACTGAGTGTATGGTGAATTGAGTCATGAAGCTGGCTCCACATGACAGCTCATAACTAAACTGGGTTTTCATCATGCTGTATCAGCGATTAAAGCAGTACAAAATATTTTGTTAAACAGAAAATGCCATATTATAATTTGAAATGCGTGCAATAGAAAGCTATTATTTACTTGAAATAATAAGAAATTATATTTTGTAATGATTTTCATTCAGGCAAAATGGTATTTCAGGAACTTCACACATGAGTCTAGGTTGTTAGAAGTTACAAAGACCTGATGAAAATAATTATGTCAGTACCAAATAAATTTAACTCATTTTTTATGAATTTTAGAAATCCTCTGTACAGACAGTTGGTGAAGAACAAACACAGAATCCTTACACGGAGCTCCTTGTGTTGAAAGGTCATCAAGATATAGTACGATTTCTAGTGCAAATAGATGACTGCAGGTATGAAATGCCATTTCGAATTGTTTAACAGTGTCCTTGGCAATACTTCAGAGAATATTTGTGAATATGTAGTAATATTTGTAATCTTCCCTTTTTATTTTTGGTGGGGGAGGGCAGGAAAAATTTGAGTTAAAAAAGCAAGGGATGAACACTCCCTTTTCTTGGTATGTTACTGTGTCTTTTGGCTTCTCTTTTAAGGTTTACTATAATGAGAAAATAATGGTGAATGAGTTACGTTTCTTGGTGCCAAGTCATTTGTTAGGAAGAAATGTTCTTTTAGTCTGTTCCTATTTGAGCGTTCCCTTCTGTACATGCATATGAACTCTTTCTCACAGTCTTCTTCTGCTCTGAGCAGATACGTGTGTTTTGCATTTCTGAATTGAGAATAGCTGTTATTTCACCTTTTGGTTCTATGAAAGAATGTAATAGGCTCCTTTAGGTACACTGTAGCAATTAGCCATGACATCTTCAACGATGCTGAGCGATGGTTGCTGTTCCTTTCTTTCCCATCTTCTGCTGCCCTTTCTTCCAAAGCTATAGTACTTAATTCATTTGAGCTTTAGTTCATGCAGGTTTTTTTGACTTTTCAAATATTGAAATTTTCACCACTTTATTCAGAATGACTGCTTAGCAAAATTCATCACATGCCTAATCTCTGCATTTCATTTCTCTTCCAGTTTGATCTTATTCAACTTGCTGTACTTCTTTGAAACCTGATCATTCCTTTGTTTCTCTCGGTCAGTGTTTTGTATATTCCTGACAATTTTTATCTGTTCTGTTCTTCTGAAGACTGAGTTGTCTATCTTCTGAGGACAGAGTTATCTAAAAACTGGAAAACTGGTTAATAAGCAGAGATGAAGTCATTGTATTTACCTTTGTACTTTGGAAATGTGACTGAGAGATTGTATTATGATAGTTGTACATTACAACCTGGCTTCTATTCTAGTTTTCTCTAAATTAACCTTTCATGTTCTTTAATTATACTTAATCCTAGAAGAGAAGAAATAATTTTCTGCCTTAAAAGTAAGGTTGTGAATTCTTTAGTCAGTAATAAAATGTAGTGACTCTTGGCTGATGTGGAGAATAAAATAGAAAACGTTTAGAGATTAAGAATGTAAGTAATAGGCAAGAATAGTTCTGTTAAGGACCTGTAGTAAGTTATATCTTTTATGGATTAGACTCAGAAGGGAATTTCTAATATATTCATCAATACACTACACAAAGTTAACATGGATAACAGCTTGTTTTAATTCTAGCAGTGTATAGCAGGTGTTTTGTGAAGGAAGGTTCTCTCCTTCCCCATTCACATTGATTGGAGGAGATCATGCAGGTAGTCTCTTCCAATTCAGGAATGCCCACAGAATCCTGTTTTCTAATAAGATTTGTAATATATATATATATATATATATATATAAATTTCACAGAAGACTCCATGGAGGCTCTTTAGCGTGTCAGTTTTTTTCTTAATGTCATAAAATATATATATATTAGAAAAGTTACATGTGTTACCATAAAGTTTATTTTTCCGCATTGTAGTAGTCCACCAGAAAATTCCTACAAAAATGAAAGAATCTTGTGCCTTTTTTTCAGTCCTTTTTGACCCAGACCAGTTATTAAAATAACTCTTTATCAAAGTATGTTTTCTCAAAACACTTACTGCATAGAGGTAATTGATTTTTGTAGAAATACCAGAGTATTCTTAAATTGCTATGTGATACAAAGAAACTACTTGCCATTTTGGGCTTCTTTCTTTGGTGGCAGGGAAATTACTGAAGCTAAACTAATGACAATCATTGTAAAGCTAAAGTCTGGGTGGCTGCATTTAATATAGGCTGTAAAACAGCATATGGATAAGGAGTAAGTTATATAGCTGGTTAACATTGTGAGAGTTTGAGGAGTTTAATAGAGTTGCTTCACTGGACAGTAATTCTGAGTTTTTATTTATCAAGAATATGGTATTTTCTGGATTGTTAAACACCTGATAATATTATTCACTTGATTCTTTTCAGTAAAATTAGTATTGTTACTCAGATTCTGAAATGTTTTTATTTAGTTTCTGCAGCTATTCCATTGTGTGCTTTTTGTCAACTATTGTAAGCCAAATTTCACGCTTCAGGTCTTTAGATAATATCATCTTAGTGAGAATTTTGCAGAAGGATTTTCTTGTTTTCTCAGTGGCTCAGCTAAAACCAGTGAGTGGAAAATTTTCTCAGATTGGTTTTTGAAGATACTAAATAAATCCTATATGAATGTAACAGAAAGCTGGTGGGCTCTTTTTTGCTTTTTTTTTCTTTCTTCTTTGCTCTTGTACTTTTCAAACATGAAGTAAGGGTCATATTGATTAGAAGATCACTAAAGAAGACTAAGCCTGAGCAAGAGTCTTCCAAAAAGTGGACTGAAATAAAATTGCATGTAACGCCCTAGCATTCGATACATTAAATTAAACAGAGTTCATAACACATTTTAAGAACAGTTTTTTTGTTGCTCATTTGACCATTCCTTCCTCCTTCAGGAAACAGACAAGGTTATAGATGGTGGTGATCTTGACTGGAAAAGAATGAGGTGTCCCATAAGGAGCATATGTAGGCAGATGGTTAGATACTCACTCTAACCTAGAGAAAAAGATTGAATTCAAGTCAGACTTGGTTCATGTGAGATTAACATGCTAATTGGAACTTGTGTTTTCCTCATATGATATGCCTTCCATGTGGATTTTTATCAGAAGTCAAATTTAGCACCTTAAATGTGTTGCCCTTTGAAGTTCTTTTAAGCCACACTCTAAATTACAATGGTAAATACTGGACTACTCTGTTCTGAATCCAAAAAATCGGTCTGAGAAACTTGCTTCTTTTTTTATCTTTAAGCAGCAAGGTATTTGTTTATTCAACGTTGGGAGCAAGCCAGCTCGTACTGGACAAACTTGCTCGACTTGCAAGTGCAAAACTAAGCCATTTTATACACTTTAGATACATGGTTACATCATTTATTATACATATTAATAAGTAGGCTGGTCTCTGGGCAGAGTCTCTCCAGACATGCGCAATTTCCTACTGTGGGGGTCTTCTCCTCAAGCCTTCATCCCTCTGGTGGTCGCCATGGACGTCTTCCTCAATTTGATCTCTTCAATTAGGTGACCTGAATTCTTCAAGCTTGCAAAATCCTGGCTCTGGGCCTTCTATATCTTATTCAAACGTCTAGTTTACCTAATTTATTTCTGTGTGTGTAGTACTCCTGTTCTTTCTATAATAAGGCCTTTGGTCCAGTGAGCAGAACAGAACATGATATTAACCAGTGCTCCTAAAATGTTCTTCTAGCGAAACGGGTATTGAGGTTTCTTAGCAGGCCAAGATATCTCAGTTAACTCTTTTAGGCCTGGCTCCTGTTTCAGTTCCTGGACTGAACCCAGACAAGTGGTTTGTAACTTGTTAGATGTCTTATAGTTGACTCTGACTAATAGTATTTGATTTTAAAGTTCGCTGTTATTTGGTGTTTCAGATCTCATATTTTTAAACAAGAGAATTGGTTCTTTTGTGTGGGGTTCTTTTTTAATAGTACATATTGGAATTCCTACATCTTGTTCTTATATTAAGTATATGTTGATAAATACCTATTCAAATGTACTGACTTTAGTTTAGAAACTATAATTGGGATTTACAAATACATGTTTATTCTGTAAAGACAGATTCTGATATATCTTGTAAGTATTTTTCTTCCGTAACTGTTTACTGCTTTTCCATTACGTTATGCTATATTGAAGTTTTCAGTTTGTTGTGGTTTTTTTGTCTCTTTTTCTTCAGGTTTGCATCTGCAGGAGATGATGGAATCGTATGTCTATGGAATGCTCAGGTTAGGTGATTTTTTTGGGGGCTGGCTTGTGTGTTCTGGAGAGGGTAGAAGTTATGGAGAGGAGTTAGAAATGTCTAGAAATGAAAAAGCAGAATAAATAAGAGTTGCTGCAAAGCCGTTTGAAAATGTACAAGTGGAGGGAGCCTCTTAAATTTTAGTTTACAAAGGAGAGTTAGGGTATTAAAAATAGTGTGAACTCAAGAGAAGGACAAGTTTTGAAAGTTAGAATGTTTTGGGAAGACATAGTGATTTTAGAGAGATTTTAGATGAAATGATGTGAAAAGCAGAAGTGTGTATCAATGTGTGCCTTTAATTACTCTTTAATGTGTTCTGTGTTTGCTGTTAACACCAAAATCTTGACTAGTAACTCAACAAATATGTAAGAAGATCCCAAACCTGCTAGGATTTTTATATATACTTAAGTTTTAAGTACATTTCAGTAACTTTACTAGTAATACCTCTTTGTGGTATAACTGATTAGGCTAAATGGTGAGCTAGCACAAAACTCTATTGGAAAGATACCAAAGTGCGTAGAAGTTCAACATTTCATGCAGTGCAGGAACAGGGCCTTAATTGCTTGCTGTGATAAAAATCTTGTAACTTTTGAAAACCTTACAAAGACATTAGTTTTATCATGGAAATAGTGCTCTATTAGTGACACCAGCTGTTCTGGTCTTCTGCTCTGTGTCTCTGTATCATTGACAAAATTGTAGAAGGGATGAGCATTAGACCTGTGTTAAGGAGGTCTGGTATACGAGTTACATTGTTCAATAAGAAGTCTGAAGGGGAGACATACTGTACTGTCTAAAGTGTATCAAACATTCAAATTGAGGAAGAAAAAAACTCAGACTGTAAATTTTTTAAAAATCTTCTGAAAAATTTATGTGACATTTATGATGGTGTAATTTTAAAATACAGAAGGGGAGACTTGAAATTTCTCTCTTTTGAGCAGTTTCAATTAGTGCTTTGCTGTAGTTGAAGGCCTTTTGTGATTTTTTAATTCTATAACTTGGAAAAGGAAAGGAGTCTTGAATATTAAAACCCATATATGTGAATATATATATACCCAGTGTTCTGAGCAGTTTGTCACTTAGAACTCAGCTTATGAACTGAGTTCCATTTTCTACTTTTGTAGGAATTTTATTAGTTTAAAACATTAACCCACAACTGTAAAGAAGTTTGCAGCTAAAATAACACTGTATTTTAGTTGCACGTTTAAAATGCCAGTATGCTTCTCTATGTTTGTTTGTGGAGTTTTGCCTTCTAAACACAGCAGAAGTAGCTCCGGTTGTCCAAAGCACCATCTTGAATCTACAGATGATGTACGTGCTAAATAAAGCTGGCAGGAAATTGACAGTACTGTGTTTGCCATAAATATAGGTCAAATTTTTCTAATAATTAAAAAAAAAATTACTTTTTCAGAAGAGGGTTTGTCAACAAATCTGAATTACCAAAGTGTTCATGGGTGAATGGCCAGTATTTGCATTAAAATTAAATGAACTTAATACAGAATTTCGGTCTTAGGGGCTTTTAGAGGGTTTTTTACTCTGAGAGTAATTTGTGTTATGTCCTTTAAACCTACGCTTGGTATCTTATTTAATCTTGAATAGCATTGAAGGTAGTAAGAAGCAAATCCATAAGTTACTTTAGAAAGGGAGATTTGAGACTCTTAAAAATTCTTGCTTTCAAAAGTCATGTGGTACCTATGTTTTATGCTACAGTAGGCATTTTCCATGTTTTACATTTAGTTTTCCATGGGTTTGTTTTTCAGACTGGAGAAAAACTTTTTGAACTTCATGGACACACACACAAAATTACAGCTATAGCACCGTTTTCTTCGTCAGATGCTTTTGAAGAAAAAAGACATTTGATTATAACGGCCTCTGCTGATAGAACAGTTATTGTATCCTTTGATCTGGGTGTAATTGGGTTACACAGGAGTTTTACTAGTTATTGCTCACAAGTAGATGTAGTCCTTGCTACAAAAATGAATCCATAACAGACCTTTATTAATATGCCATTTAGGCCAAATCTTGAAAAGACAGAGTTTAGAAGACTGAGACACTGCATACCTCTTTCCTAATCTGTCACAAACACAGCATTTATATTTATAATGCATAGAAACCTTTCAGTTTCCTTAATGAATAAAGACAGGTTTGGGACTGCACTAGTGGCAGACAGGTTCAGAAAGTGTCATGTTTCCATTCTACTGTAAAGGTATGCTAAAGAAACCTTATGAATGTCTGTTGTTTTGTTATATACAATAATTATTATGTATGGCTTGTAGGTCCTATGGGCAGGTGTTAAAATGAACAGCAATGTTTGGTGTAAGCAGTGGTACATAATGAGTGGCTGAGAAGTGGGTGTTTTTCAGACTCTTAATACCTCAATTTTCTTTTTGAAAGGATGTAGAACAAAGGTAACTGGTATGGCTTGGTTCTGTTACTGTGTTGCAAAAGACAACCTACCTTTAAATTAGTTGTTGACTCTTAATAGTAGGGAAAAATCAATGAAAAAATAAGGTTTTGCATTGTTGATGAAAAATGTAGCATGTAATTAAATTTGTGTTTCTCAGGGAAGTGATACCTTGATACTGTGCTTCATAGTACTTACAGATTTATTTAACTAAAGCTCATGATCATTTTACTGAGAAATTCCCTGTAGAACTTTTGCAGGAGACATATATCTGATTTTTGTTCTGCAGTGTTTGACAGTTCTTCAAAGACTGGATGTATGGTTGTCTGGAGGGAGTGATCTATGTGTTTGGAACCGAAAATTAGATCTCTTGTGTAAGACCAGTCATCTTACTGATGCAGGTAAGAATGTAAATGACTCATTATAGCTGTTAAAGTGCAAGTAAAATGGATCTGTATAATGATGCAAAACCAACTTGGCAAATTTCCTTTAATTCTAATGATAACATTATTTATTAGAGCCACTAGCTCTTTTTTTAAATGTCAGACTTAATAGTTTCAGAATTAAGACTGCTTTTAATCTCCTGTACTGTGTGAATTTTAGAATATGTCAAATCTCAGTAACTGTACAATAGCTTGGACTTACAGGGATGCTGGTCTGTATGTGTTTGCTGTAACATGTACCAGATTCTTTGACTGGCTTTTTGTGTGATCAGGTGGGAGTTCTGTTATTCCTAAGTGAGCTTTGTAGAAGTAGAACAGTAGAGATTACTTTTTATTATTAAGAATCAGTACTTTTTATGTAGAAAATGCAGCTTTTGATAGGAATATAATAAATGTAATCAGATATCAATGTCAATCATGCTTTTATATTAATAAATTTATATTTTGTATGTCCATATGAAGAAAATTGTCACATGTTATTGACGTGCTTTACCAAGATACCTGTAAAGCTGTGAATCCCATTTAAAGGTGGAACTAATATTGTCCTTATTTTTGTCATGGAATAGAGTAGTGGTAGGCAAAGCCTTCTGAATCTTTGAGGATATTAATACTTCTTTTGAAAGTATTGATTATGAAATATTATGAAGTATTATGCTAAATACTAGCTGGTAGTGTTGCTGTGGTGCTTTGTATGAAGTGCTATTGAAACTTTGGTACAAGGAGTCAATGGGATGTGTAGCATGGGCCTTGTCTTCTATTCTAATCTCATGCTTCCTTTGCGGGGAAAGAGATTGCTTATTCCTTGGGGAATTTTTCTTTAATGATGTGGTGGCACAGACTGGGAAAATTCTGTGCAGGATTAAGACAGACTAGCAATTAAGACACAAAGCAATTTGGACATCTTAGGCCTTACTCTTCTTCTGCTGGCTCTGCACAGTATTTTAGAATTGTGTGTTTTGAGGTATGTACAGTATCTAATAACTTTGGTACTACCTTTGTTTAGAATCTTAATAATTACCATGGTGTCCTTAATACTGTCCAGCATTAGGACATAGATATCTTAACTGTATTTAAAATAAACTTTAAGTTTCACTGCAAGTTTGATGTCCAGAATTCTGCTGGATTTGGGACCAAAAGTCCTGACCTTGCCTCTGTTTGAGATGATCTATTCAATTCTGATGCCATTTAACTTTTATTTCAGGCAATATGCTTCTGTTTTGATTATAATTTCCAAGTGGAAGGAAGATTGTTAAGAACTTTATTAATAAGGAATTAACAGTTTGCTGTGTTATAACCAGTGGTTATCCTTTTCTCCCTTCTCCCCTGTTTTTTTTTCAAAGGTATCAGTGCTTTGGTTGAATTGCCCAAAAACTGTGTTGCAGCAGCTGTAGGCAAAGAGCTAAGTGAGTATGTTGCATTTATGTGTTCATGTTCCTCTATAACAGCTGGTTATCAGAGATATGTGTAAAAAACACATGCTGGAATTGTATAGGGAAAGTAAATGGTATTAGAGTGTGATCAGCAACATTCTTTTTCCATTCTTTACAAAGAAGAGACAGTACTAATCTTTTTGAGGAATCTTATAGATGAAACTTTTCTATATTTAGAATCATAGAATTATTAAGGTTTGAAAAGACTTTCAAGATATCAAGTCCAACCTTAAAACACCACCATGCCAATTAAACCATTGCACTAAGTGCCATGTCCAGTCATGTCTTGAACACCTCCAGGGATGATGACTCCACCATATCCCTGGGCAGCCCATTCCAATGCCTGACCACCCCTTTAGTGAAAAAATTCTTCCTGCTATCCAACCTGAACCTCACCTGGTGCAACTTGAGGCCACTTCCTTTTGTCCTGTCACTTGTCACCTGGAAGAAGATGCCAGTCCCCACTTCACCACAACCTCCTCTCAGGTAGCTATAGGGAGTGATGAGGTCTCTTTGAACCTGCTTTTTTTCATGCTAAACAACCTGAGCTCCTTGCTCTTAAGACTTGCGCTTTGCTATCTCTCTTGCCCTTTTCTGGACGAAGTGAGGGGCCCAGAGCTGAACACAGCTAGATTTGAGGTGCAGCCTCACCAGTGCTGAGTACAGAGGGACAATCGCTGCCCTGGTCCTGCTGGCCGCACTGCTGATACAGGCCAGGATGCCATTGGCCTTCCTGGCCACCAGGGCACACTGATGGCTCATGTTGGTCAAGCAGGACCTGCCTTTCTTAAACCCATGCTGGCTGGTCCTGGTTCCCTGGTTGTCTTGGATGTGCTGTGTGATCACACTCAAGATAATTTGTTCCATCACCTTCCCTGGCACTGAGATCAGGCTGACAGGCCTGTAGTTCCCTGGATCCTCCTTCTGACCTGTCTTGTAGGTGGATGTCACACTGGTCAACCTCCAACTGACTGGGACCTCCCTGGTTAACCAGGACTGATGATAAATGACAGAGAGTGGCTTGGCGAGCTCCTCCGCCAGCTCACTCAGTGTTAATGCCACCTGTCCACATCTGTCTGGGGCAATTGACATTTGTCCTAGTGCAGAAGGTCTGGGACTGCTTATCTGAGCTGTCAGATACTAGGCTTCTCTAGAGCCTCCTTATCCCAGGATCAGAAGCTATAATGAGACAGTGTGATGATTTCTTTTGCTCAGTTGGAGACAGAATTATCTATGTATGCAAACTGGAAGTCATTGGCTAGCTGTTGGTGGAGAGTCTTTTTGGTAAGTGCTGTGTAAAATTACTGAAATTTCAAAATAGGGAATAAAATCCAGGAGCAAAAGTAGAGCAAAAAAGCAAATGTTGCTCAAGATGATTAAATACTTAGTTGAAAAATTAGCAACCTGATACTTTGATCAAAGAATCAGGAACAAATTAAGAATAGTCCTCTTGTGTTTAGACATAGAGATACAATACAAACTTCCATCTAAACTTCCCACAATTCTTTTGCAGTACCCTTGAGATAGAAAAGAAATTCCAAGACTGGTTAAAATAAAGTCTTAATTCCTGATGATCTCAATTGTCTTACTGGGGAATATTGCATCCTTTTGAATATTAATTTTTCAGTGAGATGAGTCCTCAAGAAACATTTCACTTTTAGTTTACTTATCCATAAAGATGTCTAATACTTTTCACTTCTGCTTTCTACAGCTTCTGATGTTGACCAGGTCTATAAGTTTCAGAGTAACAAGGCTAAAATGTTTTATCCTAGAGTTGCTGTAGTAAGAGGCCTTAATGATAACACTGAAATAATTCATTCCCATTTTTTGATGTCATGAGTGACCATAAGTCTTGTCTCACTTATGTTTTAGTTTGTGCCTCTCTGAAAATGATGTGTTTTATTTAAGTATAGTTCCATCTTATTCTGAATGAAAGAGCTTATTTAGACAATTTCTCTTTCTTTGAAGTAATTTTTAGGTTGACTGATTCTAACAATGAGTCTGAAGGTTGGAATGTCCTTGAAGTAAAGCGCCTTGTTGACCATCAGGATAACATTTTGTCATTAGTCAGCGTCAATGGTAAGAGTTGTTTTATAATGTTACTGCTTTTGTTAGTTACCAGTGGGATAAACCTATGGAGTTTTTTTGGGACCACAGTTTTCACTGGAGTGAAACTACTTTACTAGTGGATGTACTATCTTGTGTACCTGCAAAGGTAGTGACATGTCAAAATATAATTGCATTGTTTATGGATTAACAATGGGATGAAACCAGGCAAGTTGCAGTGTTGAAGAGAGGTAATGTCATTGATGAAAATGGAGCTCTGGGTCTTCTTTCTGTTAGAAAAGTTAAAAATGCTACTTTTTCCCTTGCTCCTTCTGACTCTTAAAATGGGATATGCGAGGCCATGTTCCTTGCGGTTGTTGTCCCAAGGTAACTGAAGGTTCTGAGGGTGCAGTTGTGGGCCTACATAGAGATTGTAGAGGGTCTGGAAGATGATACAGTCTCTGCTGCTCAATAGGACAATACTGAGCTATTACCTGAAATTCAGCCCCTTCTACTCTGTTCTTGCCTTTTTTTTTTTTTATGGAGCACCCACAGAATCCAGAACAAGTTATTACTGGTGTAATAGAAAGTGTGTATTTGTCCTTGAGTGTATCTGTGTCGGCCTGGTTGGCACAAAGGTTGGCACAAAGGGACTTGTTACAGAGGTAACAAGAAGCTGGAGAAAAAAAAGAAAACTTAGATTCTATGGTACTTGTTTCTGGGCTTAACTGTTGTCATTATTGTCTCCTTTTGGATTACGAAGAACAAGCAATGTTTGTCTTAAAGAGACAATATGCTACCTGCATTAAATATTGCTGTAGTGGTTCCTTCCCAGGTATGAAAAACAAATTCATGACGAGCTACTTCAGTCTTGCCATCCACTTAATTTGTGATCTGTAATTCTATTTATGGCATAGACATACTTTGTTGCTTCTGAGGGGTGTCCAAACACCTACTTGTCCAAGGAATAGAAGGGCTTTTTATGTAGAAATGGAGTTCAAGTACTTGTACATACTTCTGGTGGTGTTCCTTGCCTTTGCTATGCAGTACTGTGCACTGTCGTCAGTGAATGTTCTCGTTCCTAATTTTAATTTCACAGGAGAACTCATCTCCTTTTGCTCATCTGAGGTGTGCTGGGTAATAAAATGAGTATTTACTCAAAGAAAGGGGGTTTAGTCCAGTCAGTTATGTACTGCACATTGTACATAGCTTTACACGAAAACGAGCACTCTTACCTTTCTAGGGTTGTAACTTTGTGTGAAATGTCACTTTTCAATATAATGTTTTTTTCCCCCCTGCAGACTTGACTTTTGTGACCGGCTCTCATGTAGGTGAGCTAATAGTTTGGGATGCACTTGACTGGACAAAGCAGGCATCTGAATGCAACTTCTGGGACTCCTCTGTCCATCCAGATGTACAACCAGAAATAAAGTTATCCCAAAGCCCAAATGAAACTTCAGTTCAACACCTAACGTCTGATGAGGAGGTAAAAAGCTTTAAATACAGTAAACTAATTCAAGTAAGCTAGGATGAGCTTACCACAGAAGACTAACTGCTTTGTGTTTTCAGTTTCCTTGTTTTAATATGAGATTTCTTCTAAATGTGCACAGCTATTTTTATACAGTCAACAGTTTTTACATAAAGTATTGGGTGTTGAGCTAACTGAAGGTTATAATATGTTGATGGTATTGGGAACTAACATAATGGACTTTCAACAACAGCATTTCTTTTTGACTGACAAAGATTTATTAGCTGTTTATAGTACCACTAGAGAAAAAATAAACAGGAGGTGTATGTTTTGATGGCATACATCTTTCATATTCCATTCTTCTGGAAATGCAGTTTTCACAATAATGCACCTTTGAACATTTATATCTGAAGGTACTATGGAGTGAATTTAAGAATAGGCATATGTCTATGCTTAATAGTAAATCAGTATTGCTCCTACTGTTCAGATGGGCCATACTCAACTGTATACACAAATATGTATACAGGATCCAGGCTACTGTAATAATGCTTTGGACATAAGTTCTTGATCAAAATACTCTGTCAGAACCCAGTTATTGTTCAGCAAACACTAGAAGTTGTCAGGTTATTACTTATTTTTGTGAAATGTTACCAACTGTTAGTGGCAATGTAAAAGACGTTTCATAATTGTCGCGTAGGTCAGTTACGTGAATGGTCAATACGTGGGGAATGATTAAGAAAGGGATTCCTGGAAATGGATTCAGAGATATGAGCTATAACAAAGTAAAAACTGTGGAAAAGCCTGAATTCCTATAACCCTGGAGAGAGAAACATTATGGGTTGTGGGCAGAAAAAAAGATGTGGTTATATCTAAAGGTAGGATTTGCAGTGTTATCAATGCTTATTTCTACAATGAGCCAAAACCAAATTTTATTTAGGGTGAAATCTATAATATGGCTTTAAAATGCTTTGATTTTCTGCTTGAAAGCTACACAAGATGTGTTTTAAGGGAGGAGAAAAGAATTTTGAGAAGGTCAGAAGTTGTTAAAACATTGAACGTGGAATCTGAGGCTACTGAAGGCTTTCTTCCGTGCATGGAACTGAACTACACAAATTGTTGTGAATTTCATTCATTGTGGGAGTTTTGAATGGTGAGAAGTAAAGGTGGTTCTAGCATTAATCCTGAAATAGAAGCTGTTTTAAGGCAGAGCTGTCTGTATTGTAAAGGTCCTACTTAAAAAGTGGTGAAGAAATGTATTTTTATAACGCAGATGTTTTAAAATGTATTTTTAAAAGCAGAACGCTGTTCTTCATGTTAAAAAAAATAATGCAAAATATGTGTTTTCTCTGTTTTCCAGGCTTGGTAGTTGGGTGGTTGGAGAAGATGCATGTGTCTAGTTTGACACTGAGATTGTAGGCAAAACATGATTCAGAAACAAATGGGGTGGTATAGGTTTGGCAATACTGGGAAACAGTGCTAGGGAGTGCGTCTGGTGCCCTGATAAGCGTATGTTTGTGTTTAGTTGCCTTTTAAGATGGATGTACAATTTATGCTTCATCATCTTTTATTTTCTTGGGGTTTGAGATGACCAAGATTTTGCCAGGGCTTGTGAAAAAAGAAGAGTGCTCCATGAAAAGCATCTTTTGCAAAGCTGTAAGAGTGTGTGACTCATGGTGGAAGAGTGATGTGGAAGACCACTGAATTTGAAACTCACACAAAACTAGGAAAATAATACAAAATGACTCAGTGGGTTATTTTTCCTCTTGATTCGGTAATGGTGCTATCAGAAATCTGTTTAGTTTCAGTGCTTCCACAGCAGATGCGCATAAGAAAAAAGCCAAAACTCTGAACAAAAACCTGGATAAAGAGTTTTGAACAGTGTCAAAACATCATTGAATATATGTACAGAAAATCTTAGTCAAAGACAGTGGGTTACAATTTTTACAAAATATTGACAGATGTGTAGTGCGAACTGATTATGAGACATTGATGTTTGGGTTGTGTAAGTGGAAGCAGGCCATTCAGGGAAATGTTCCAGCATTACATCGCCATACATCACCTAAACAAGGTGTGTTCAAAACCGCAAAAATGTATTGAATGGAAGCATTTTGCGCGCTCCTGGTACTGAATATTAATCATCTGTACATACATATGATTGTACATTTGCCCGCTCTAAGATTGTCACAAGTCACAAGAGGGTCCAGGTCCAAAGATGTGTAAGCTGTTTCTGGCTTCTTAGGGTCATGATGGTTGTAGGATGGAATGCCTGCACTCTTCTGAAGAAAAGCATTGAATGCAAAATGCGCTATTGTGTAGTACTTTACTGTGAGAGAGTTCCTTTTCTGTACTCAGTAGAGTTGAAATACTTGAACAAGGCCTCCTTGTCCAGCTTCAGTTAAATTTCAAAAAGAGGCAAAAATGCAGAACAGCTTCCTGTATTCTCAGGCTTTCTTGATAAAACAAAAGTTTTTCAAAACACAGAGCATTATTTTAGTGTAAGAAAGTAAATGTTTAATTGCAGAAGTGTATTGATTTGTTGGTAACCTTGATTACTGCTTAGACTGTAAGGTACAGGTTAAAAGTGCAGACACTAAATAACTGCTTAGAGTATAGGAGGATATTGCACATTTGCTCAAAAAAAAATCCATATTTTTTTTATATGACTTACTAATTTCATATGTTTGGGATAAGGCAGCAACATGAGGACAGAAACAAGCTGGATAGTGCAGGCTAGATGACATCACAGTATCTCTGGAAATCTGTTACATGTGGGATGATTTTTCAGTATCTGTTTCTGCAAGTTGTTCCATTAAATTTTTTTTCCAGTATGTGTTTGCTGCTGTTGGGAAAGGCATATACGTATATAATCTTCAAATGAAGTGTGTGATTGCCTGCCAGAGAACTGCTCACGACTCCTCTGTGCTGCACATCGAGAAGCTTCCAAACAGGTACAAGTCATAGTACATTTAGTTAATGCAATAAAGAAAAGCAAAACTTGGAAGGGTGACTAGACAGAGTGCAAAGCTGCATCTGATTTCTAGGGCAGGGACTTATCTGCAGTTCGATCTGCTTTTATTAGGTAGAGCTTGTTGATCTGGTTTTTGAAAATTCATCATTGTAATTCAACAGGAAAAAACTATAATCTGGTATATCCAGACTGGTACACAGGCTGAAAATATCTCAGCTATTTTCAAAATCAGACCTGATAAAGCACTTTTGTCTACATTGTGAAAATACAGCTTAATGGCATTTTACTTCTATAAAGCAAAGGCATATGACATATTCAGTAAATATTTTTCACTAAATATTTTGTAACAATTGAAATGTTTTAACAAAAAGTAATAATTTCCAGCCTTTGTTCATTAGTGCTAAATTTCTAGCTCGATCTTGATTTGAGAGCCAACTTGGACAATTTGCTGCATATATATATATATATTTATATTCTAATAGTAGTTGTGTTAGATCCCTTTATACTCTTGTTCAGTGGAGCAAAAGTCTATCAGAAGATAAAAATTAGGGCCTTGATTGTGTAAATGCATGTGCTTTATGAAATAGGGTACCTTTCCTTTTGTAATTTTTCTGTAAGAAAAGGTTTTTACTCAATGAAAATAAGCTTATGGACACCATTTAGTTGAACTATGTTTGCAGAGTCTAAACTTATGTTTTGTTTTACATAGTGGTATGCTTTTAAAAGGGGGTGGAAAATGTTTATTTTTTCCACCTATTCTACAAGCCTTTTATAGTTTGTTCTGCTACAGATGCACTTTGAGGCAACTTGCTGTCTCTTTTATAGAAACATCACAAGGTGATTTTCACAGATAAGTATCCAATGCTAGTGTTGCTTATCAACTGTTTTTACAGGCAGCTGATCTCCTGCTCAGAAGATGGCAGTGTGCGCATTTGGGAACTCAGAGAAAAGCAGCAGCTGCCAGCTGAACCAGTTCCGACAGGTTTGCTAGTAGTGAAAAGAACATTTCAAAACGTAACAGGAGACCCAATATTCACCATATAGGAATAGAGAGGCTTTCAAGCTTTGTAAGAAGAGATAATATATTGTGTTCAACCAACTGATAACAGGTCTGGGTGAGAAACTGAAGAAGGGATGGGTATACAAGCCCCCCAAGATCTGATATGGGACTTTAAAAGATCTAGGTAAAGCAGTTCTGTACCATAGAGCTTATTTAAAGTTTACAGTTGTATCAGCCAGTTTAACAAAAATTAGGACCTCTCCTGACGAACCTTCATCCTTCCCTGTTTGTACCAAATAGTGCTGAATCCTCTACCATGCAAGATTAAATAGTTGCAGAACTATGTGCAGAAATCTAGAAAAACTTGCAGATGACCAGCTGGCACAAAAAAAAGGAAGTGTTTTCCACATCTCCTCTTTGAATATATTGGGACTCACTTTGAGGCTGTATACAACTTCACTTGCCTACTACCTCTGGGCATTGGAGTCCTCAGGGCTAGTTGTTGGTGTTAGAGCAGCATTTTCCTCAAGTACAGACATTCACAGAATCACAGAATGGGTCAGATTGGAAGTGACCACAGTGGGTCATCTGGTCAAACCTCCCTGCTAAAGCAGGGTCATCCCAGAGCACATGGCACAGGATTGTGTCCAGATGGTACTTGAGTATCTCCAGTGAGGGAGACTCCACAACTCTCCATTACTCTCTGGGCAGTCTGTTCCAGTGCACAGTCACTTGCACAGTACTGTATACTCAGATGAAACTTCCTGTGCAGCAGTTTCCGCCCATTGCCTCTTGGCCTATTGCTTGGCACCAGCAAGAAGAGCCTAGATCCACCCTCTTAGCACCCTCCCTTCAGGTACTTAGACACTGATGAGGTCTCCTCTCAGTTGTCTCTTCTTGAGGCTGAACAGGCTCGGTTCCCTCAGCCTTTCCAGATGTTCCGGTCCCCTCATCATCTTTGTAGTTGGACCTGCTCCAGGAGCTCCATGTCTCTCTTGTCCTGAGGAGTCCGGAATTGGACACAACACTCCAGGTGAAGCCTCACCAGGGCTGAGTACAGGGGCAGGGTCAGCTCCCTCAACATGCCCAGCATTCGCTCCCGGCAGTGCTTTTCCTAATGCACCCCAGGATATCACTAGTCTTTTGGCCACAAGGCCTCACTGCTGGCTCATGGACACCTTGTTGTCCACCAGGACACCTTGTTGCCCTTGTTGACTTTCAGACAGTTCTTCTCTGCCCATTGCTCCAACCTGTCGAGGTCCTTCTGAAGGGCAGCACAGCCCTCTGGGGTATCAGCCACTCCTCCCAGCTTTGTGTCATCAGTGAACTTGCTGAGGAGGCAGCTGTCCCTTCATCCAAGTCATGGGTGAGCAAGTTAAACAATACTGGGCCCAGCATTGAACCTTGGGGGACACCACTAGTGACAGGCCTCCAGCTAGACCCTGTGCCTCTGGGATCTGCCATTCAACCAGTTCTCAATCCACCTCACTGTCCACTGATCCAGCCCACCGTTCCTGAATTTGCCTGTAAGGATGTTGTGAAAGACAGTGTTGAAAGCTGTGCTAAAGTTGAGGTAGACAATACCCACTGCTCTCCCCTCATCCATCTAGGTAGAGAGTGCTTCATTGCAGAAGACAATCAGGTTGGTCAAACATGACTTTAGTGAGCCCATGCTGACTACTCCTGATCACTTTCTTGTCCTCCATGTGGATAGAGATGTCCTCCAGAATGAGTTGCTCAATCACCTTTGCAGGGATTCAGCTGAGGCTGACTGGCTGGTAGTTCCCTGGGTCCTCCTTCTTGCCCCTTTGAAGACTGGGTTGACATTTGCTATCTTCAGTCATCAGACGTCTCTCCTGATCTCCATGACCTTTCAAAGATGATTGTGAGCACCTTGCTGTGGTGTCCGTCAACTCTTTCAGCCTTGGTGCATCCCATCAGGGCCCGTGGACTTGTGGATGTCAGATTTTCTAGGTGGTCTCTAACCCAATCCTCCTTGACTAAGGGAAAGTCTTCCTTCCAGCATTCCTTTACCTGGTCTCCCAGGTCAGAGATTCCTGAGGGCTGGCCTTGTCAGTGAAGACTGATGCAAAGATCAATAACTCAGCCTTCTCTGCATCCTCTGTTACCAGGGTTCCCCCTCCATTTGGTAACGAGTCCACATTATCCTTAGTTTTCCTTTTGTTAATGATGTATTTGAAGAAGCCCTTCTTGTTGTCTTTCACATCCTTGGTTATGTTTAATTCCAGATGGCCTGCCTTGTCTCATTTCTACTTGTTCTGAGAGTCTCTCTATATTTATTCCCAGTGGCCTGACCCTGCTTCTGTCTCCTATGTATTTTCTGCTTATGCTTGAGCAGTGACAGGAGTTCTCTTGTAGTGCTTGGTACTTTTTGACCAGGCCAGCAACTTCTCTGCACACTGGCAGTTGTGGCCTTAGACAGGTGCTCTGGACAATATAATTAGTATTAAGAACTGGGAACAGCAGTAGACTTGCTCTCTTGTAGGAACTTTTTTATTCAAGCTGTGAATAATTTTCTTGATGTATCTTGTTTACCTGGCTGTTCATCTCCTGTTGGTAACTTTTGCAAATATATTTTTGCTGCCTGGCTTGATTTAGAAACATTTTTTTCAGGAATGTTGTGTCTTCAGTATTGCTGGTGACGGCTTATCTACACAGTGACAGGTGGTATTTGGCTTCACATTGGAAATTTATAACTTCTGTGAATCAAGATGTTTGAAAGAAACCAGTGAGATGTTGCTGTTGATTTGCTCTATTTTTATTCTAGGGATCCCCTGAGAGGTTGTTCATCTTACCAGTTACCTCCCTTGCACCAGGGCCATGGTTTAGCACACTTCTAGTTTTGTGTGCTGATGGGGCTGAGGAAAGGATTGGGAATAAAGTCTGAACTGCACAGTGAACAGAACCCAACTGTCTTACTTCTGTCAGTACTATTGCATAGTTCCCCTGGTGGCTGTGGCTGTGCTAGTGGAGTACTATCTTTACAGTCCAGTTTGGCTGATAGTTTTAAATATGAATGAAGAAGCCAATGGGCAAACACTTTAATGCTGTAGTGCAGGACATACGGGAGAGACTGGTGCCTCATTTTTCTCCTCTTTGCACAAGTAACAGTTTAGGAGTGCAAAGCAAAGGTGAGCATCAGTGTCCTGCATCTACCTTGCTGTTCAGTTAGTTCATTTAGGAAGTCTTTGTGTTTCTTCTTATATCTGTGTATTGTCTCATCCAGGTGTGTAATTCTGCATGTTTACTAAATTATATCTAATTAGGACAAGTAGCTGTGTTTCCTTCCTCCCTCAAGATGAATAATGCAGATATAAAAATGCTGCAAAGTACAGTGCTTCTGTCATTTTGCCATGTAGACTGTCTTGTTTTTAGATTTTATGTGGCTCTTCAGCTAGAGGAAATAAATTGTATTTGTTATTTTTGCCAAACGAGAGACTTTTCTTCCCCCAGGGTTTTTCAACATGTGGGGCTTTGGAAGGGCAAACAAGCAGGCAAATCAAGCTGCCAAGAAGATGCAGGAGAATACACCTATGTATTTCTTGGAGCTGGTTGGGGATTTGATTGGTCATTCATCAGCTGTGCAGGTAGGTCAGCTTTAGTAAGAACAAGAAAAAGTGAATGTTAGTAAGCAATGTAAATTTGACAGCGTAAATTTGAGAAAACAGCTGTAAAGCTGTAACTTTTGACTGTCTGGGTCTGGAGGCTGGGAGCACATTGTGTGGTATATTTAGTGCAGTATGAAAACAGTAATACATACTGACTTAATATTCTAGCGAGAGCTTGCTCAATGATGCCTGAGGATTGTGTGTGCATATATGCACATACATACTACAGATAATCTGGTAGTGTATTTGGTTTCTTTTATAGACTGCAGACAGTACAACTGGGAACCACATGCGTGACCCAGATTTCATCTTAAGTTCACAATCTAAACAAGGGCTTATGCAAAACAAAACACATTCAGTAATGTCTTAGCCTTCTGCGCTGTGAGCATTAAGGAGGTCTTTTAATGTTAGATCAGTTACCATTCCATGCTTCTGTATGCCTAATATAGTATGTTTTTGTTTTAAATGGCATTTTCCCTCCACACCTTTCTGTGTTTGACAATCTGTTGGAGTAAGAAATCACTTTCTTACAGTGGACTTCTGTACACATTCTTGGAAGGAGCAGGGGGAAGGGCAGATAGAGAGGAGCGGTGTGATTCTGGAGTAGCTTTGCTCGCAAGTATTCATGAGACTGATGGGATTTCAGAACTGCTGCTGCCAAAACCTGAAAGTTTTTCTTTAAAAGCTAAGGTTCTTTTGAAAAATGGTTAAAAGGGGTCTTATTATTGACTTGGAAAGTTGCTATCTAAGAAGGAGGACATAGTGTGTAATTCAGCAAGGGACGCAGCATAAGAAAGTGAGAGGCGTATGTTGGGTCTTGGCTGGGATGCTGCAGAGTCAAGGGGTAATGGAGATGATGGTGGATGTGATTTCCTGCAACCTTCTACATGTGGAAAATCATGGGGGTTTTTTTAAACTGTGGGCAGACTGGAGCTGTTGAGGAAGAAAATGTTGAGTAGTGATGAAATGTGGTGGCCAAAATGAGGGTTTGGCAGACTATTTCTGCTGGAACTCCATAACTAGTAAGTGGCTGTTCCCAGAGAAGGTAAACCTTGTCCTGAATGCTTTCCCTGACCAGATCCCTTCAAGAAAATGAAGGGACAGGGCACTGTGAGCATGCCATAGGGACATTGCTGTTGGCTATTGTGTTGAACTGCAATTAGTGGTTAATTTTGGGCCGCCTTGTGAAGGTCTCAGAAGTCAGGAATGACCTCATGACTTGTCAGCTCCATTGGTCTTGCAAAATCCCTCCACTGCTGCTGTACTTTTCTCCTGTGTTGTATTTCTTGCATGTTTGACTTCCTCTGTGTGATCAGGTATGTGCTGACGTCTGTCACAATTGTTTGCTCTTTGATCCTTCCAGGCCTGGTGCTAGTAGTCTGTTGTGTTGTAGGGAAGGGGACAGTGTACCCAATGAACAGAACAGGCTTCTGTTCCTAAGAAACCAGATCAAAGTTCAGACAAGTCATTCACTCTTCTGTTGCTGACTTGGAACAAATTGCTTCAAGATTCTGTCTTTTAGTGCTTTCTGTCCATAAGGTTTTAGTGCTATTTTGAAAAGATCTTGCAGTATGAAGTGCTGTTTAAAGAGTTTTTTTGTGTAGTGATTTTATGATCTCTCAAATGTACAGTATACAGTGTCATTTTGCATACCTATCTATAAGCAAAGCCATTTCAGATATGTGTATTTGTTTAGTCCAGCTGTAAACTAAATAGTTAAGCAAGTTGACCATCTCATGCAAGCATCATGGTAATAATAATTGTTTCATTGCAGATGTTCCTGTACTTTGGTGAACTGGGATTGGCTACATGCTCTGCTGACCACCTCATTATTTTGTGGAAGGATGGTGAACGAGAATCTAGCCTCCGCAGTTTAACACTATTTCAAAAATTGGCACAAAATGGTGATTTGCAGCTCAAACTTTAAATTGCTTGAATACAGGCTACATATATGTAAAGTGGATGTGTGTTAAATCTGAGTGTAAGGTAATGTCTGAGCTACTGGGAATCTGACTACCAGTAACGCTTACACTTGATGTCATGTACTATACTGGAAATTTTAATAGTTGCTATTACTCTTCTGAAAGGAGAATTTTGCATGTTGGCTTGCTCTGTCAGCAGAAATGGTGTTCTCTTGAAAGACTGAAGATAATGATGGCTCATTAAATAGTTTCTAATGTTGTTCCCACATGGGTGGATGTCAAGATTTGTGAAAATCCTCAGATGAATCATAACTAAAATAGTTAGGGGTATCCACAGTGCTATGTGCAGAAAGGAGGCATGGCAAAAAATCTGCAGCATAAACCCCAAAATACAGTGACAAAAAGACAAAACCTGAAGAACCACAAACCAACCCCAAAGCAAACAAACCAACAAAAAAAAGCAAAGTTAACCCTGGAACTGATAAAAAGAAAGGGTGAGGGAGAATGAGATAATGAGTGATAAGTTACCATTTGAACAAGAAGAGCTAGGGAAAGGGAGAATTTGGGAACTTAGTGGGTGCTACTGTCCTCAGGTCTACTCAGAAGATCCAGTACTTAATGGTTTAGGACTAAGTCTTGTGCAGCTTTTGAATGCCATCTCTTCCCTTTGAATCTATAAGAATTGGTTTCAGTACAAGAGACTACAAGGGTGTAACTTGGTACTTAAGATACAGTGTTTGCAGTAAGTGCAATTAAAACAAAGGGCTAAGTAGATCCTGGCAAGAGTAGAAGCAAAAGGAGGAAGCTCCTAGTTTCCTAGAAGAAACCAAGAAGCCTTTTAGACTTGCCTTCCTCCAGCGGCTATGGGCACTTGCCTTCCTCCTACTACCCAGAAGCCAAGCTTTGCCTCTTGAGTCTGACCATAATCTCTAGAAGGTAGAGCAGAGGGACAATAAGATTTTGAGCTGTATTTTTTTCCTACCTTAGTCAACTAATTACCTATAGGTAATCTTATTTGAAGTAGAGAATTCAAAATAACTTATTTCAAAACCACAAAACAGGTGGGGAAATTGTTAAACTGCTGCCTTCTTTCAATTCAGGAAGGTTAAATCAGTGTTAAAGCTTGAACTGCATGTTCTTTGCTCATTGGCTCTTCTTTTGACCAGCCTAGGAAAAGCATTTGGATTACACCTGAGGATAACATACTTCTGGTTTTATGGTATTAAACTGGAGAGAGAAAGGCATGTTAAGTCTGCATCGTTTCACCTGATCTTCATTGCATTTTTGGCTTCCCCAGCACAAGCTGGGGAGATGAAGTTTTATTTTGGCTCTTTGCCTTGTTTCAACTGAGAACTGTTCAGTTGTTTATAAAGTGTGTGTTTACACATTGTTACTAAACCTTTAAAGTGAAAGCTTATAAAAATTAGATTATTTGGAGAGAATACTGCTATCATCAGTTATAGCTAGAGACAAGAAAGCTCATATTTTTATTCTCTCTTGTACCATGAGAACAACTATTTCCTTTTTATGTGACTGCTTTTAAGTGAATACCTGGTAGGAAAACAGACCTATTTAACTAAACAGTTCTAGTCACAAAACTCACTGTGCAATTTACAGGGATGTAATTCATCCTTAAATAGTCCTACATGCATGTATAAATATTTATATCTATCAAAAGTGCCATTGTTCTCAGATACACTCCATTGGCAATAGATCTCCCAAGGGTCTCTTCCTTTAAAGATGGTTGAGTTGAAAGTATTAAATTGAGTTCTTTGTTTTACAAACGAACTTTGAGCATAACAGTGAACATAGTAATAGTATACTGTCCCATTCCTCTGTTAAATGAGAGTTTGTCACTTGCTGTCGGGAGGTGCAATGAGCACAATTATGGTGACCAGATGAGAATTTTTACTTCTTACTTATGTCATTTTAAACTTTTTTCCACCTTGAGATAACACAGAATTCTGTATGTTCACACCATCAAAGTAAATATCAGACCTACTCTTAATACTTTTACAACTCTGAGGTGACTGTCTTACACATCTGTGCACTAACGATAGCATGAAACAAGCAGCTGTTAGTCACTGGACTAGTCTAGGAGATCTGACACAACTGGCAGATGACGATTAATCTGTGCTGATTTATTTTGCTCCTAAAGACGACCTATCTCCACAGAGATTGCTCTTTTTTTACTTAGTCTGACTGTGGGAAGAAACACGTGATCTTGCAACAAATGTACTGATTCCACATTAACACCTTGGCCTTCTTGTTCACAAGTTGAACTTTATTTTTTAGATTCCTTCCACTGTTCACATTTTTTTTTCTTGTGACAGAAGTGTGACAAAAATTATGAATTGAAATGTTTTACATGGATGTGGTCTTACAGTGTTGCTGTATTTAACAAATTAAGCTTTGAATCTTAGGAAATTCTTTTCTCTAATGCAAGCTGCAGTGAGCATTCAGTTATCAGAATAGTTAAGGTACAACCACCGAGAGCACTAGTTCTAAATAAAGAAATGGAAAAAGCAAACAGTTTACAGTATTAGAAAACAGACGTTCAACTAATCTGAATAAAAATCCATTGAAGAATGTTGCCATAGATAATAGGAAAGAATGAAGAAACACGCTTCACCAGAAACACAGTTCTTCGAGTATACACAACGCAACATTTTAATACACAGCAACCTGCCTTAGCTATGACAAAAGTAAGGATCTGTTACAATTCTAACAAAAATATAGCTTATATACATTTCTCTGCACGTACATTTTATGAATGTTTCCTTTTGTTTCAGAACTTGGTACAAAACATACAAAAAAGGTTGGCACATTATGTAAGCTACCTGCAGTAAACAGCATTGTCACTATGTTACCACAGCAGTCTCAATGCTGTTTGCCTTTTTTTTTTTCTTTATCCAGTTTGATTCTTAATACAGCATAGGGGGAGTGGACTGCTTCTTCAACTGCAGCCACAGCTTTGACAGTCTTGCCTGAAGCCTGGAGTGCACAGTGTTAAAAATCAGCAGTTCTGCTCGTATTTATTAACTGAATAATCCGAGAATAATCTAAAATTTGAACTCATGTTCTGCCTGTGATTAAAATGAGATGTACAAAAATATGCATTTGTGCTTTGAAAGCCTTAGCATAAATTTAATATCTTAAAACTAATGAAAAACTATGCTTGATTTCTAACTTATTTACATATTTTGAAGTACTTTTTACATCACAAAACAAAACATCATTTTATTAGGAGGATAAAGCAGTAAAAATTGTAATGCTGTTATAAATTATAACCTGGAAATTTTTTTAAAAAGCAACAGGTTCATCCTAGAAGTAAGTAGCACAATATTGAACATATCATAAAATTCAGATCAGTTTAATAAAAGTGATGACCATGCATACAAACTCCACTTTATAAAAAAAGGATGGTGATCAAGTGCCACAATAGTTTTCATGTAAAATGTGATGAAATCTTGCATGATAATGTCTGTAAGATGGCAGAGAACCATGGGGATGGCACCAGCTATACAGAACATGCTTATTTTCCTTCATTATATGATCAGTTTTAGGGGACGTTGACTCCTACCAAGATTTTATATGGAAAAGAAAGAACAGGTGGTGCTCTGAGAGAGAATCTCTATAATAATAAGAAGGTTGATTTAAAAGGTGCCAGCTTTGGGTTTTTTACTATATCCAGTTTATTGAGGTTTTATTGTTCTACTGTGCATATTCTTTTTAGAAGTATGGTTCAGAGAGCTGAAGAACATTGACAGAATTGGAACAAATTTATATGAGATAAGTGGGAAATTTTTATGCTTATTTGTCAGGCTATTCTCACTCTCCTGGTGACTACATTGCCCCTCTGTCTGAGAAACAGTTGTGTGAAGTGTTAGTGAATACAGTTGTATCAACTCCAAGATTCAACAAGTGCATGTTCAGTATTAGAAATTAGTTTCAGAAGTACATTTGCTGCCACAAAATATTATTTCCAAAGAGCACTTAGTCATCTGTGGATTATATAGCCTCATTGAAAAACATTTTTCTGTAGAATTCAGAGAAGCTTAAAAATTATGCGTGAAATATTTCCTTCTTGTTACGTAGTCTTAATCCACTGGAAAGGTAATATCATCCCCTTTGTAGCCAAGAGTCCGTAAGTGATTCACAGTGAAACTGGTAGAGCAAGAGGTCTTTTTTTTGATTTTGTGTCAGTTGTTGTTTTCTGATGGAAGCCTCAGACTCTTGCACTTTAAATCATCCAGTGTTTTCCAGTGTTTATAGTTATTAGCCAAGTGTTGCATCAAAACAGGGAGATGTGCAAATGCTGAAAGAACAGGAGAAACAGTTGTACTATGTATACAGAATGGGCAGAAGAACAGCCCAACGTCGTCTGAAATTGGCATTCTCCTACTTCTTTTGTTCCTTCAGCTCCTTAAACTGAAGGAGCTAAAAGGGGAAAGATTTTTTTAGTGTGTTTCTCTTTCAAGTAAATCCCCTTCTTAATGCAGGATGACTTTATTAAATTATGCTAACACGCAACCACACTGGTCTTAGTTTCTGCTGCTCAGAAGAAATACATTGCTAAAGGAAAAAAAAGTAGATGAGAAAAAGCTTATTTTTAAGCCATTACTCTTCCTCTACACAGATTGCCTGGTAAGTGCTCAACTTCATAAAGCGTGTGTTTTGTGCAGTGAAACAGGCTTCAGCAGTATCACTGCACAATATCCTGTGCTGTACTGCTTATGTACAGGTACCGACCCTCAAAAAAGTGGACTCAAGGCCAGTTTGAGATGAGTCATTTTAGTCTGTAGGAATATCTGCTTCAGAGCAAGGAAGAAGAAGTAAGCAGAAGTACTTACCATCCCATGCATCAAACATATCTGTTATAAAATAATCAATGAAGGAAATCTGAGACTTGGGGATGCTGCAGGTGTTTCTGTCAAATACTGGCATTACAACAGGCAGACCCTGTCTCTTCTCTTCATCAGTCTAAGAAGACAAAACTCCAGTTAGCCACTAAAGCTTTGCTGACTTCCATGCTGGAGTAGCAAAGCTCAGGGGATTAGATGAATTGCAGTAGGAGATTTGACACAAACCTTAGAACCCCTGAGCTGAACTGCCTCAGTTTCATGTGTGTTATTTCATCTGGAACAGGGACTGAAATCAACATCCCTTCCCTTTCACAAGTACTCTTATTTTTGTAGTTCTGTGATTGCACTTAGCTCCAGCAAGACAGAATGATCTAATCAGGTGATTAGGGTACACCAGCTAAAAAATGGAAAATGGGGTTGCGGAGTCCTTTAGCAGAGGACTGGTCTCTCCATTTTTCCACATCTCTACTGGCTGTTTCAAACCATTTGTCTTTTAAGTAAGAAGAGGCTGTTGCCGAGGCTACTTTCTCTGCTGGTATCAAGTTATAAGATGAATGGAAGTAAAGGTATGCCCTTTAACTCTGTGTCTGCAACTGAAACAGGGCTGGTTTTGTTGCACTTAGTATGGTGGAGGATCAAATCACCTCAGCTGTTTCTTACAACTAAATTACAAACCAAAAAGAAGTCCCATTTTAAGCTGTATGGGCAGCACCTATGCTGGAATTAGCAGCAGAGCAGTCTTCAAAATTAGCAGATGAGGTGAATGAACAGCAGAACAGTTCTGAGCACCTCACATTGCTGCATGTAGGCACCTCACATTGCCTAAGCTGGGCAATTTAAAGCTAGCTTATGACACCTTGACTGCTAGGGAGATGCAGCCTAAGTGATCCTTGATCTTACTTAGGACATAACAGAATTTATTCACTGTGATTAAAATGAAATTCAGACATGCCCTAAGTACTTGCTACAATTTTCTTTTAGTAATAACTATCAAATGTATGATCTGAATTTGGATGGTAGGCATGCCCACTTTTCTGTCTTTCCACTCATAGCTGCTGATTTCTGTACCACTAGTGGCAAAAAAAAGCTAAGATTTTTATCAGTTGTTCAAATAAAGAACTAAAAGAGTATTTCACTTTCAGGAAGCTGGTACATTTCTGTCAGAAAAAAATGAATGTGAAGAAGTGAACTTGAGCTTTCAGTTCTGTCTGGAGAGATCCCATGCCATAAGTATTTACATTGGCCATGTGCCTCTACTACTCATCTGCCTACACTGACAATAGTTTGGGTCCTACCTTAGAAGAGAAAGGGCCATCCCAGTGGTTCAGCTGAGGGCTGCATCAGACATGCATCTTCATGCTTCTTCATTGGGACTAGAAACTAGAATGGTGACGGTCTTGAATTTCAGCCAATTAAATTGACTAAGACTAATCAAATAATTTTGTTTTGGCCAGATGAAGAAAGTTGAAAATGTAAAACTTGCTTTTCACCATTCTGTACAATGAGCTTCATGGTGAGCAAACTAGCTAACTGCCTGGCGTGAATTCTTCTGCATGAAACTGATGGGCCAGTTCTGGCTGGGAATGAAAAAAACCACGTCTGGACTCTGGTCACACCAAGCAGACCCTGTGTGGAACAGCAGACCAGCAGCTGATGTGCATTTTCTTACATAATATAATGGTCAAATCATAAAAGTATACGTACCTGTGCGAAATACTCCTCTGAAATCCTCCCTGCCCATTCAATACATAGCTCTAGAGGGCGACATGGATTTGCTACATCTGCACATTTAATCATCATGCGCTTGATCAGTGTCTGGTTGTCTGGAAAATTCTTTATATTGGCTGTACATTCAGTGTCGCTGCCTTCGCTCTGTAAAGCAGAGATGATTACAGTGACCAGGGGTCACATCCCCTGCTGGCAGGAGTGAGGGTGTCGTTATCAGCTCTACTGCACTTGGGGCAGTAAGCAGGCACCCAGTCTGCCGCCTTCTAATGTCATGCAGAGCACCAGGAATTTGGAGAAGAAAGTGATGTCTGAGAACTACAGCCTTGCTAAGTAACTAATTGTAACCCCCGTACATATTACAGTTGTGAAGATTCTGAGAATTAATAGCTAAGTTTGTAAAATAAAGAGCTATAGGCTCTTTATCAGGTAGGAGGTCACTTTCTCTGCATCCCAGACTTGTCCTCTTGGAAGAGGACCATGATAGCAGATGCATCCACCAACTGCTAGCTCATAAATGATCCTCAGTGCTGAGTGTTTAAATTTGAGGGTGATGATTTTAGGGGACTGCTTCACTTAGGGCAGTTTCTGGAGTTAGATTTTCATTCCTAAATGAGAAAACTGAGGCAGGCACAGGGAGCTGAACTGACTTGCACAACTGACATTACTTTTATATGCAGAAAAGCGGAGCTCTGACATTCAGTTCCAGAACATTTACACATAAAACTGCCTTCTTTATGCCAGACTTTGAACCCTCAGCTTGGAATCATCTCTGGTTTTAGTTATGAGCAAGGGTGCAGTTTTAGGTAATCTACGAGATTAACAGTAAGAAAACACAGGGGCAGGAGACTGACTGCAGAAAGTCTCTACTTGGTAGACAGTAAAATATCAAACTGCTTACTGACTGCTGTGGAGAGCATGTGGAGGTGACAAGGTAGTTGTTACAAGTCCACTGTGGCATCATATTCTGAGTCTTGAATAGTTTAGAAGGGCACAGGTATGTTATGCTCCTTGTGGAGTAATAAAAAGCCTACACCTCAGCTTATCATGGCACTAACACTGTTCTCAAAATATTTGTGTGATTATGTTCTCCCTTCACTGCTAAATTCAACTCCTGAGTCAAAAACTGAACATAAGTACTTTCTACCACAGCAACTAAATTAATGTCGCTGTGGTTTATGGAGAGATATTTTGCAGTGACTTTTGCCAGTTCAGGCACTAATCTTCTAACTTTATGTTTAGCAGTTAATTCTTTTTCAGCATGGATAGCCCAGCAAAGACCTGCCAAATTAACCCTCCACCTTAACTGCCGTTCAAGACAAAAATAGAAAGAGCCACTGTTAACAGTAAAGAACAACTTAATACTGGGGGAAAACAACCAGTCTGTGGTACAATGGTTCTGTGCTGCAGTTTTATTGTGAGGTAAGTTCAGCATCATTTGTGATTTCCAGCTCAAACTGTTGGGAGAGTGGAGCTCAGCAGTTCCTAGAAGTAGTTCAGTTCAACTGACATAATGCTGTCTCTAAAGTCATAAACCCTACCAGTCCTGACTGATTTCTGTACCCTTGACATCCTACAGTGCAAAAAGTCCAGTTACAGATAACTACCAGAAGCGATTTCTATTTATTTTTAGTATTGTTGACTTTCAATTTTATCTGATTTTTTTTTCAGTATTTCCAACAAAGCACTATTTTCACTAAGGTGGGCTAAGGTAGTCTTTCCTCAGGTAACACTGCTCTGGAGAACCCTGTCAGGCCCTGAATGCTCAGCCTTGAAAGGCAACAAAAGAAGGTAAGAGGGGCATGGGAAACTCAGAGGCAGCTTATGAAACATACCCTGGCTGGAGCATTAGGGTGTGTAACTGATAGGAATAAAGGCCTGGCCATCTCTTGGTACAGTCAGGAGTGGAGAGGTCTCAGGAAGGTATTCCTCAGGCCTTGAAGGCTCTAGATTACACAGACCCAAAACTATCAAGGTAAGTTCCTCAGTTACATCCCTAGGCTCAGGCAAATCCCACTGTTTGGAGACAGGACCATAGGCACAAGTGCCAACCTGGCTTCATGCACAGAATTTTCCATGTAAAACAACACCCATCTGCACATTTTCTGAATACAAGATGGCTTTGAAGACAAAGTGAAGATAAATGAAGTGTTTAAATGAGCTAAGGACAGAGCCAGACATAGAAAACAAGAAAATGAAAGTATTTTTTCAAACTTTGATGTGTGAGGTCACAAATCCAGTTTTGTCATTTTGGGCATTACCACAATGCAAATTAATCAAGGTGAATGAAAATGATACTTTAAGTTGTCTTGGAAGAACCTAACTGAAATGCCTGACGGTGTAAAGTCCCCCAAGCACTTACGTGTGGGCTGGTCTCCTCAGGTGCCATAGGCTTGTTGATACTGTTCACAAATTTGTTCACATGCTCAAAGTGCTTCGTCATCTCTGTTGCCAAAACCATATCGATAATGGCCTGGCGCAATGTCCGATAGCGATTTCTAGGAAAGAAAAAGAGTTCCTGCTCACAAGCCTGCCAGACAGAGCTCTGTCCTTTCCTCATACCTGCCTAGGCAGTGCTGCAAAATGCTGCTCAAGGGCTCACCATGTGAGCTGGCACCTTCAGAGACAGGAACAGTCTAGGGATGGAGGAATGGACTAGATCGTTCCTCTCTGGGTTCCTCTAGCTCTGTTATTTTTGCCTGATGAAAATCAATCCCCTGAGGTTAGTAAAAATTTACAACTCAGTTTCATAATGCTGTAACACTAAGACAAGTTGTCCAAGAATGGCACCAACACATCCACGTGACTGCATGCTAGCTTGGAACTCAAAGCTCAGGTTTTTCAAAAACAGTGCTGTTTGGGGTCAGGCTTTTTCCCTTTCAGATCTGTTTCCCTCTGTTTCCCTTGCAAAAGCTAGGCTCACGCAGTGGAATTCCCAGGCTACAACATGCCACAGGGAGCCTCCCGATCTCCCAGAACTTCGTGTCGGTCTGCCACTACCCGTTCTGCCCCATGTGAATGCAGTAGTGCTTGGAAGCATAGGACCTTGTGCAGAAACAGCATGCAGCATCTAGCTGCTGGGGTGGAAAAATATACCACAGAAAAGTAATGTCTAGGCTTCTGCAACCAAAAGGCCGTGGGCCAAAATGCAGTCTTGAGGTTGTCAACTGGACCATGTTAATGTAATCCATAAAAGATTATTGAACATCTCTATAAGATTCCAAAAATTACAAATTGGAAGGGGCGGTGAAGGGGGAAATGAAAGCTTTTTTTAAAAATCATGTCTGCATGGGATTCTGGAAGAGGTTAAATATTAATATCTGTATTTAAACTGTATATTCTTGTTTAGAATGTAGGCTCTCAATCTGCCCCAAACTAAAACTGCCAAACAAGCAATCCACACACGGGCACTCCTCTTCGCCAGAAGACACACCTATCAATATTCTTGAAAATGTTGCATTTGCTGTCTTTAGTTGTAAGCTGAAACGCCAGTGCTGTGTGATGACTCTCTAATACAGCTGTATCATTGTAAAGGACAGCTAATTCACTGCCTGCATTGCACAGGAAAGAGTTGGTCCGTCCAGGGTGGTCTACATCATGAATGGTGGCAGCTATTAATGCAGCTACCTCATCTAAATGGTCCAGACTTCCCTACAGGAAGAGAGAAAAATTATGATGTGGCACAAAAATTACGGTAAATATTTTCTGATCATTTCTAGGTACCCTTGATTATGCAAACATAAGCTTCAGTGTAAGGATCCTACCTCCTTGCAATCATTTTCCACTCAGTGTGCCCACAGATTAACTACTACAAAACTCTCACTCCCACCCCTACCCATATACTCTTTTCTTTAAAGAAGCTTTTTACTATGCTGTCACCTAAGCAATATCTTGGCATAAAATTCTCTAATGGATAGATCATCTAGATCTATCACACGCATCCGTGTGTGCTTGCCTGAATGCATCTGTACTGTCTCTGCCTCTACACACCTTTTATCTTAGAATACAGTGGGACAGACTGTTTCAGTTGGAAGTGACCTACAACGATCATTAGCCCAACTGCCTGACCGCTTTGGGGCTGACCAAAAGTTAAAGCATGTTGTTGCCCAAATGCCCTTAAACACTAACAGGATCAGGGCATCAACCACCTTTCTATGAAGCCTGTGACCACTCAGTAAAGAAATGCTTACTAATGTCCAATCTGAACCTCCCCTGGCACAGCTTTGAACCATTCCCACTCATCCTATCATTGGGTACCAGGGAGAATAGCTCACACTTCCCTCTCCAAAGCTTTTGCAAAACTTTATTAAGAGCTGTTACTAACCAAGACAGAGAAAAAAGCCAGGTTCCCTCCCCACCCCCATTATTACTGCTTAAAAAAATTAATTTGTATAAACAGACTTCAGAGAAACTGTATGGGCTTGCTGGCTTCACAGGAAGACTTCAAGGGCAGAGAGAGTTTATGAAGCCAGGACAATTATTTAAACATGTGACTTTTGGATGACACACATAAAATGGTAAACACACTGAAACCCTAGCCCAGAGGACTCCTAGGTGAGGGTTCTACCTTAACTCTCTCCTTGCCAAGGAAGAAGGCGGTAGCATGCAGGACATCTGCTGCGTGTGTGGAGTTGTGGTAGGAGTTGGAGGAATGGTAGTTGGCTTCAATGACCTGCAGCCATGCCCGCAGTGTTACTTCTGAGCAGTTTAAAAACTCAGAGACCCCAAACCGGGCAAAAACTTTTAAGCCCAAATACACTAACGGCCTGAAAAACAATAGAAGAAGAAAGCACTGTTGTAAAATAGGAACTTGTGTTGTTCTAAAAGCAGTATATTTGATGAAGAAAACAACAAGACCTTAAAAAGGGTGGGGAATGTTAAACATTTTTAAATTGCACATCTATAGCCTCTCAAAAGCCTGGCCAAGGTTACAAATTATTGTATCTACCATCCTTTTAGACATTATTTTAATATGTTTTGTGGAAATGGTGCAGTTCCATTAGAGTTTGAACAATTCCTGTGGCTTCAGAAAAAACATCTTAAAAGCCCAAGTCTTTTGTGGTTTTTTGTATCTGTCAATCAAAAAAAAA